GAGAATCTCTAACACACATCGCACTCCCAGGTGATTTTAAACCAAAAGTGGAAATATAACCTGTAACCAACAGTTTTAGTTTTTACGTCTTTATCTACAGACTCTGCTGTTTATGGTACAAGAGTAAAGATTACATATAAAAACACAGAAGTTGTGCAAGTACATAGCAGATGTCCTGTTTCAGGAGCTGATATGAAAGCTTATAGAACAATAAAAATATTGCAATGTTTGCTGCTAACAGAAAGCATTGCATTAAAAATCTACATTATTTATTATTTGTTGCAGATGCTCTTTAGGGAAACAAAGACATTACATGGTATTAGTAAACTTCAGGCCCTCCTGCTGTTTGAGCACAGAGGTCTAAAGGATACAAAGGAATATTAGGACATTAAGAAAAAATATATATTATTGATCATTATGAGAATAGATTCAAAATTTCTAGATTAACTTCAAAATAATATTTTGAGAGTAAAGTTGAAATGTGGAGATTAAAACCTTCTAGAAAACGCTTTGTGTACATGAGTTTGTGATCATACTTCAGAATTGTTTTTAGTTAGAAGGAAATAATTTCCTTGTAAGAGCTTTGAAACGATTGCAGAAAGCTGCATCTGGTCAGAAGGAAGAACACACAAGCATAATGATGGTTTACACCCTCAAGCAATAAACACGATGTTGTATCACAAGACCCAATACAATAGATGACGAAGTTGTTTCCCTAACTCAGGGGTAGGCAACTCCAGGCCTCGAGGGCCGGTGTCCTGCAGGTTTTAGATCGCACCGTGGGTTAACACATATCTAACACCTGCAGGGCACCAGCCCTCGAGGCCTGCAGTTCGACACCCCTGCCTTAAAATGACAACTGCAGTCTCCACATTTCAACTTTTTTCTCAAAATAGTATTTTAAGTTTAATCTCAAAATTTAATCTGAAAATTAACACTTTTTTTTGTTTAACTGAATGTGCCCCTAATACTCTGTCAGACATGGAATGGTGACACTATTTTCTGGAGAATTGATTTGGCAATGATTTCCAAACCTACTCCAGAGCAGGTTACCATGGCAATTTACCCAGGGTTAACCCTGATGTTACCTGGATAAGTCAAAACCCTGGTCCATAGTGTAAGACTCTGGCCCTAAAAATATAACACTGCGCAGACATGGATCAATATTTTGCAGAGATAAATAGTTTGTTTTTTAGATTGATGAGACATGTGCCATTTTATTTAACTTTTTAATATTGTTAATGATAATTAAACAATGTGTATATATTATTATTTAACACAGTACAGGCAACTAAAATGTGTTAATCTGACACATTTTTAACACAAAAATCTCACCGACTTCTTCAGATTTCAGTGGTTTCAGTATCAGGAGTGTATACGGAGAGCTGAGCCAGAGGTTTGATCTGTGCGGCTGGCAGCAGGTCGTCGGGTGAAGGGATTTTTAAAAAGGGTCCGCCTGCGCCAATTACATGTTGAATAAATGAACAAAAACAAGAATCAGCATCAGCTAGGAGCGCGTGCACCTGGACCAAACCAAATCATGAAATAAGGATGGGGGGGACGCCAAAAACTAAAGCGGAAATCAAGACTTGAAACCAGATCATTTTTAAACGACTGACTTTTACTCAGTGCGCAGTTCATCCACCGAGTTCTTTTTCGCAGGCTGATGTTGATGTTGGCCTTTGCGTCTATCACCGCCATATCAACCACAAACAACTGATTATTGATAACCGATAACCACAGTGCTACTGACGAATGACTGCAGTTTTTATTCATCACTCAGTGTGAACTGGCGCAAAGTGCATGAACGCTGTGCAGTGTGAGCGTACTGTGAAAAATACCGGATGCTGCAATTTTGATCTTGTCTACCGTATATGAGCCAAATTTCTCCGCGTGCGTATCAAAGAGAAACCCCCTGATTCACACAGCTGCTGATGGAGAGAACCACTACTGTACCGTAAAGGAGGAGGGCGGAGCCTAAGACTCCCCGCCCACTCGGCAAAATGGCAGCCAGCATGGAGAACGTGGAAGAAATTCGGAATCGAGTAATATTGGGAGAATTTGGTGTGACGAATGTAAGTGCGGCTGTGATCGTGGATTTGGAGAGGCACAGCATGTCCTCTGTGGGGTGGTGAGGCTCTGACTGACACGCTTACACTGATACGCGTGTTTGACACGGACTGCATTAATATTACATAATGAGCACTTATTATAATATACAACAATCCTCCAAAGTTTCAGGAGTGATGCGTCACAATAAGAAGTGTTTGTGAACTAAAAATCAGCAACGTGGGATCCTGTTTGTCCGTGATTTACACAGGGGAACAAAGTGTGGCAGGATCAGCCTGATGTTGTTTGTATCCCGCTATAACTTCATTGTATAAAAAGCTCACATCTCAAAAACATCAGGAGTAGTTAGTCATTATAAGAAGTGTTTGTGAACTAAAAATCAACAATGTGGGAGACTGTTTGTCACGACACCTGATCACACTTGTGGACCTGTGCGCTGTTGTTGTCTCTTATTACTCTCAGCCATTATTTATCTGTTGCTCTTAGGTTCATACTACGGATTTCCCTGGAAACTACCCCGGATATGACGACACTTGGAACGTGGAGAAATTTCAAAAGGTAAAATGTTGTCGCTGCAGTGGGCCTGTAAACGCTGGGAGGACGAATGTCGTCAGTTTTCTTCTGTAAGTCTCACATGGCTTTTGTGCGCTCTTGGCAATGATGCACAAGCCTGAGATGCTGATCCGGCTTGTTTGGAGTCTTCACAGGGATCTGCTCTTCTTACTGGCCAGTTTGGTCCATAAGTGTCCAAAATGTGCATAAATGTTTGCACAGCAACAGATTTGTAATTTCACCTGTGCATACCACCACATTTCATTTTTAATCGAGTAATCAAGATGCGACTGAAGTGCAGACGTTCAGTAGTAACTTAAAGCATTTAACCAAAGTACAGCTTTTAACACACACACGGTCATAATTACTCTAAGCATCATTGTTGGCCTGATTCGACGCCAGCAGAACCTTTAGGTTATGTTAGTCACCTGCCTTTTCCTTACATTTGTCTGTCCACCAGTAAAAAGTATTGAATGTGTATTTGGACAAAGATGCGTACAGACTAGAGCGACTAACGTGCTAAATAAAAGACGAGTGCTTCGCTTGTGCCTTTAACAAATGGAGCTCTCCTGTTTCTTTGCAGAACTTCAGAATCGACGTCGTGCATCTGGATGAAAACAGTATGGAGTTCGACATGGTGGGGATCGATGCAGCCGTTGCCAACGCCTTCAGAAGGATCTTACTGGCAGAGGTGAGCTTGTTGTGTTGTGTCACTACGGTGTCAGACCTGTTCTTCAACTTTCAGTATGTGAGGGACTTTGTACATTTTGTGAATTTAGACATTTAGTTTATTCATTTTATGCAAATATATTTTGAAAGCTGCTAATTATTATTTTATTTTTGTAGGTGCCTACTATGGCTACAGAAAAGGTGTTCATCTATAGTAACACCTCCATTGTCCAAGACGAAGTCCTGGCCCACAGATTAGGCCTCATCCCCATCAAAGCTGACCCTCGTCTGTTTGAGTACAGAAACTCTGGTAAAACATCATATTGAACCACTCGCCCATAAGGCAGTCGACACCAATGCTCATTTTATCCCACTGTGTCATCTCCTTGTCATGTGACAAAGCGCCGGTTTAGATAACATCTTGCTCAGTCATAAGTCTGAGAATAAAGAGTTTTCCTGCTGTGCTGCAGAAACTTGACAATGAGCCTGACCTCAGCTGTACTGAGCATCTGAAACAGGTATGACGGAGAGGTCATGCCTGCTTCCTACTTATGCCATGTTCTAGTTGCCTCGTTCATTCACGCGTTATGAGCATTAGTACCTTTAGGAGACATCTAATGTGAGTCAGTCATCTGTCCGCAGGTTTGTGCTGTGAATGAAAGACTAAATAATCACTTTTTATAATTTCATGAGCTGCAAATTTCCAGCGTCTCCTGCACTTGGTTTAACAGTGATGATGTGTAGCATGTTAAGCAACATGTTTAAAACGCTGCTTTGGTTTTTTTAGGGGAGGAGTCTGCAGAGGAAGAGGGTTCAGAAATAGACACAATTCAACTGCAGCTGAAGATTAAGTGCAGCAGGAATCCCAGAGCAAGCAAAGACTCATCAGACCCACGAGAGCTGTACTTAAACCACATGGGTGGGTATTTTTAGGTGTCACAAAATGGTGCAGATATCTAAAAAAAAAAGTATTCCTGTCTAACTGCAGATATCTGCTCTGTCCACTTTGATCTGCTCACAGTTTATTCCAAGGACATAAAGTGGGTGCCCATTGGGAACCAGGCAGACGTGTTTGCAGACTGCTGTATTGGGCCTGTGCATGATGACATTCTGATAGCTCAGCTACGACCGGGACAAGAGCTGGACATCGTCATGCACTGTGTCAAAGGAATTGGTAAGCTTGATCTCAGTGCTGAAGATAGAGAAACTAAACATTATTATTTACATTAAAATAACAATGTATTATTTCTATTGGCTGGACAGAGATGCTCGTAATACATTGTTACATTATATTAAATTACTTTTACTGTTTTTAAAAATGTACTGTAATAAACATGAACTTTCTGACATGTAACTATTAATTTCATCAAACTGATATTAAGAAACAAACCTTTGGGATATATGTGTTACATCTGGCTCAAGTAACAACATTATACAATTGTGTTTTAAACCATCTTTGATTTAACAACATTTTATATGTTGAAGTGCTTCCATGTCACACTTTATTGGTTTGGGATACACGTGGTCCCATTAGGGTTTGAATCCACTGGGTTTGGATCCACTGGTCGGTCCAGCTTGCATGCTCTTCCTGTGTGTGTGGGTTCTCTCAAGGTACGCTGGCTCCCTCCCACAGTCCAAAGATGTGTATGCGCATGCATTAATTGGCTACACTGAATCGGCTGGATTACACTTTGCTGCAGACATCGACACGAGCAGCTGGAGGCCAGATTCCTGAATAGTATTTCCTGTTATATTTCTTTGAATTCATAGTTGTTGGGTTGTAATGTAAATTCTCAGCAGATGGGCCAACGGACATCTGTGTGGACCCTCATACTACTGAAGCATGGAGGAGAGGGGGTGTGATGTATGGGGCCTAAACCCAGGTTTAGGGTGAGATGGAGCGCAGAGTGAAGGCCAAAGGACCAACAAGTGCTCAGCATGTCTGGGGACTCCTTCAGGACAAGAGAAGCATTTCAGGGAATGTGTGACAAGCAAAGCAAAGCAAAGCGTGACTGTTTTGAAGAACCTAAAATATCAAACATGTTTTGAGTTATTTCACACTTTTTTGTTTACTATATAATTCCATATGTGTCCATTGTGTTTTGAGACTTTCAGTGAGATGTGTGTGTTTGTAGGGCTTTGTGCTTTAGATAGGTGTGTGCACCACATGGTGGCGTACAGGAGTGGCTGACTTTTTCCATAATATCACGTTCTGGCTGCAGGGAGTTCAATTACAAGATGAAATGTGAGTTAACATTTGGGTATGTGGCTGGTGTGCTACTAAAACATCTCAAGCTGAGGACGGAATGTTTTCAGGATGTGCTGAAGTGAATTTGCCCGAATGGGCACAGTGGGAAATGCAGCAGGATGTTATCAGTCCAAATAACGGGATAGTGTGTAAACAGTATTTTCTGCTGCCTAATGATAAAGTGTGTTCTCTGTTGTGTGTTTAGGCAAAGACCATGCCAAGTTCTCCCCAGTAGCCACAGCGAGTTACCGCCTCCTCCCAGAGATCACCCTCCTGGAGGTGGTGGAGGGAGAGAAGGCGGAGCGATTAAAACAGTGCTTCTCACGAGGAGTTATAGACCTGGAAGATATTAATGGTAAGAGTGGCTTCACTTAAATCCAACAAGTTACATTGTATTAACCTGCAATCAGTCACCTGATGCTGCGAATGTTATCACATTTTTTATGTATTTAAGGGACAAAGGTTGCCAAAGTTGTGAACAGTCGCCTGGATACATGCAGCCGGGAAGTCCTCCGACACAGTGACCTGAAGAATGTGGTGAAGCTTGGACGAGTGCGAGACCATTTCATCTGTACGTTCATGTGTAGCTGCTGTAGGACACCATGCAAACTCACTGAGAAAAATGCAAATATTCCTTTTACAGTGGCCTAGCCCCTCCTGAAATCACAAATCAGTGCCCTCTCTTTGTTTATTCTGTCTGTAACAGTCAGTTTAAGAGAGATACGTCTCTATGCTGTGAAACCACTGCTGCTTTATTCAAGGGGTCAATCCATACCTGAAATGATAAATGATAATGAGTCTTGGTGTTGGACAGATGTGCATTCACTTGTATGCTAAAATACATCTGTACTGATTATTAGTCAGTGTTCTTTTCGGTGTTTACCCCCCGGCCAGAATAAGCTGATTGGTTGTTGTAGTCACCCTACTGGGTGGGCGACGTGGACACTTAGGTTTGTGATTGCATTACTCACCTAGAGTTGTGAAATTGATACCATAGGTGCATCTACTAAAACCCTCGGACGAGTTCAAATCTCAGTGACATCAAACTTAAAGCCAGGGGTCAGAGGTCGAGTTTTCTGAAAATCTTTTGAATGCGATAACTCAGGACCCCGTGGGGCTGCACGGCATTAAAGCGTTAGCACGGTTAGCTCGTTAACACGTTAGCGCCGGTGATCCGCACTAACTTGCTAACAGAGATTTGCCGCGTTTTGGCGTAAACGTCATTTTAACAAGATCAACGCTGACAGCACTAATTTCTGCACTTGCACAGACTTTGAATACATGCATCAGTGTCTTTACACTATTTTAGCCCTTGGATGTTTTTTCTTTTGCAGTTACAGTGGAATCCACCGGGATCCTGCCTCCAGACGTCTTAGTCACAGAGGCGATTAAGGTCCTCATGGCTAAATGTCAGAGGTTTCTCAATGAACTGGACTCGACGGTTATGGAATGAAAGGATGACGGAGCAGCCCGTCAGACCTCGGATGGTTGCTGTCAGTGGAATGACTGTGTTCAAATATTCTATACTGATAAAGGGTACACAGAAATTTCAAAATGCAGGTGTTTTGTGGTATCATCTGAGTATGTATATACAGCTTTGTCTGGTGTTTTGTATACTTTCCATTAAACAAATGTTGAATTGAAGACAAACATCTTAATATTATTGACTGTCAGAGCACTTTCCACCTTTTTTTCCTTTTCTAAATAAAATAGCATTAACTGTTTAGGAATTACAGCTATTTTTATCCACAGTTCTCCATCATTAGAGGCTCAAAAACAAATTGGACAGTTGACTGACGATATGAGATCCAAAGAGATTTCAGTCCAAATGAAGGAGACCACCATGAGATCTATTTTGTTTTCTAGCTTCTCAGAGAGAAAAACACTGCAGGAATGCCAAACTCATTGTTAAAAAAGGAACTCACTGCCAACAGGGCCAGAAGACCACAGAAGTGGATGTACTTAGTAAAGTAAATGGAGGTATGTTTAGCATCGCCAAAATCTGCAATTGAGAGAAATTACTGTTTATTTTCTAGAAGGAGAATCCCAGATCAGACTACCAGGAAGCATGTAAACAGTTCTGGTAAAGATGGTTTGGACAGATTAAGCTGGGAAAAGAGAAACAACTTTTGATTGGACACCACATGTATCAAATATAATGGAGGCAGTGTAATGGCATAGGTATGTATGGTTGACAGTGGGATGAAGTCAGTAGTGCTTATTGATTGAACAGTTCTGGTAAAGATGGTTTGGACAGATTAAGCTGGGAGGAGAGAAACAACTCTTTTTTTGGACACCACATGTATCCTTGAGGCGACATTTGTAGTGATTTGGCGCTATATAAATAAAATTGAATTGAATTGAATTGAATATGATGGAGGCAGTGTAATGGCATAGGTATGTATGGTTGACAGTGGGATGAAGTCAGTAGTGCTTACTGATTGTGTGATAGAAGTATCAGGATGTATTATGAAACACAAAACTATGTCCTCTGATTCAGTCAAATGCTACAAAACTGACAGAGCTTTACATGGATAGCGACCCAAAGCAAAATGGAAACCGAACCAAAGACTTTCTTAAGGCAAAGAAATGGGATATTTTTCTAGACTAGACTACAAAAACCTTTCCTTACATTTAAAATTGTATTAGTTTGTCCAGTCACTTTTGAGCTTGTGATAATGGGTGACTGTATAAAATGTAACTCATAAACAGTTACAGAACTTCTGTTGAGCCCTTTGAGTCTAAAAGTGTGCACTTCTGTCCCGTCTTGACAGTGTGATTTCAAATTCACCATTGTGGTCCGCACAGGCAGAACTATGAAAAACATACCATTGACCCAACTGTATGCACTACTGTCCAAAAGTTGTGGATACTTTGCACAGCTGGACTGGCCATCGGGCATTAGCCCGGTAGGCTGATGTTGTTTGTTGTTTTTTTTTCTAACGTTATCAACAATGAAAGTTGGTGGATTGAGTGGTCATGATCGACTCTGGGCTGGACCAATTACAATACATACATATTGAGGTGAAAAGGAACGTGATTTGTCCCGTACGTCACATCTGCCTCGGGTACAGACAAAGGCGGCGGTGTATGCATTTACATCAACAACACTGGACCACAGCGCTAGGACTACTGCATGACATCATCAGCAAACACGAGACTGCTCACCCAGTTGCTGCGTTTGTTGCTGCCAGGGATTTTAATCACTGCACCCTCAGGACTGTGGTCCCAAAGTTCCATCAATACTTGAGCTTTCCGAC